CTGAAAGTGGGAATGAGTTACATTTTTAATAGCTTTCTACTAAAGTGCATTTACACCCACTTTAAGTTCCAGAGTGCCAGAGTGGTGCAACGTAACCTTAATGTAAACAAGAATCCGGATCAGTCTCTCTGTCTCTGTCTGGGTGCTTTGTGTTTTGACTTCAATGAGATAAATTGTTTAGGGATTGCACAAATTTGCTACATCTCTAAACCAATTCCAGTCTCACTGGAAATAAACATATGGGGTCTGACCCAAAGCTCCCTGAAGTGAACAGAATCTTTCCACTGACAGTATGAGTCTGATCCACAGCTTTATTGAAGACGTAATTCTAGAAAAGAAATCAAGAATCCTCGTGAACTCAGGTAATCGATTAATAAGATCATTCCATAAATCAGAATTGAGAAGTAATTCGTAATGAGCAAAGTCTTGTCCTGCTCTGGTGAAGTGACCAAGAAAGTGCGTGTATCTGGGTAGCAGACAGTGGAGGACAAAGCAGACTTGTGCCTGTTAGTGTCATTATACAGTAGTACAGGATAGGATTCAGTTCTATATTTGCAATAACCACAGAATTGTCAGGTGTAGCTTTTCTAAGTGAAATCTAATAAAAACAAAAATTTCACAAAATCAATTATATATATATTTATATATCTAACTTAAACTCCTTCCAGAATCCTATTAACTGAATCTCTGAACTAACCATGTACTCCTGTTCTTTTTGAACTAACCATGTAAACAAAAGAAACAGGAAGCTTTACAAACTCTGTACAGGAGAATTTACTGTTTAAATAAAAAGAAGTTATCTTGTTGAATAATTTTTGAAAATTATTACAGTAGTTTACATCTTTTAGGGGAGAAGAGAGAGAGATCAGGCTAAAGGAAGAAAATGGACATACCAAATTTGGAAAACTGTAGAACATTGTCTAAACTCCATAGGTCAAATCCTGCAGGCTGGACTCAGCCCTTAGGTTTCAATGAGGTTGTTCATGCTTAAATTTATGCACATGCTTACATACCTTGCTAAATAAAGGCTTGAGAATTCACAGAAATGTAGGAATAGAATGCACCTTGAGAGGTCATCTAGTACTCTAGTCCATCTCCCCTGCACTGAGGTAGGATTAAGTATACCTGGACCGTTGTAAACATTTAATCATTTGCTCAGGATTTAAACTACTTTGATTAGCTATCTTCATTATTGTTTCACCTGCTTTGGAATAGGAGGTGCAAGCCTCTGATAACCTGCTCTAAATCTATCTACACAACTGTAAAACTTCACCTAATTCCCCCTCCTCCACATAAGCCAGGGAAGGGCAGACAGGGCACAGCTCCTGTCAAAGTTACTGTCAGCATGTGAGAGAGAACAGGGAGTGAGGGAGCTGCCTGCAGGAGATTTGAATCCTGGAGCAGGCTTACTAAATGAGCCAACCAGAGACACCTGGTGCAAGGAAGAAACCTCTAGGACTGTGGCCCCCCTATAGGGTGCTGAGAAACATTTGGGGGGGAAGCGGCGGTGCCCAGGCCAGCCCCACTCTGCCCCCATCTCTGCTCCAGTCCCGCCCCCAGCTCTGCACCCAGGCACTACCCTGGCTGCTGGCCCCCACCACACCCCAGCCATGGCTCTTCTTCCAATCCCACCCCTAGCCTTGGCCCCCAGCCAGGGCTCCGCTCCCGGGCCCGTTCCCGGCCCAGCCCCAGCCCCATCCCCAGCCTTGGGACCCTTACCCCGTCCATCCCGGCTCTGAGATGGGGCACTGGATGGGGTATGGAGGGCGCAACCCTCAAAGTTTGGAGACCACTGCTCTAGGAGGTGAAGGAATTCTGCAGGGAAAGGGACTGACTGGGAGAAGGTCCAAGGGAGTCAGCTTGAGCAGTGCAGCTAGTGCCGGATACAGACTGGGACTGATTTGTGGGAATTCTATGAGTGATTGGAGAAATTCTTTTTTTGTTGGGTTGATTTTTTGGAGCTTTGTGAATAAAGAAAACCAGGGCCAGCTCTGGCTTTTTGGCCGCCCCAAGCAAAAAAAAACGGGGCGGCCAGAATGGCAAAGCAAAAAAAAAAAACCTAGCAGCGCAGCCGGAGCGCGAGTGCAGGGGGACCGGCTGGGGGGGGAGGGGTTGGGAGCGGGCGGGAGAGAGAGAGAGAAGGGGGCGGCCAGGCTACAGCAGGGGCGCTGCCACGCGGCCCCTCCCGCTGCGCTGCCTCCTGCCGCCTGCCGCGAAGGCTCCGCTTCCGTCGGTGGGGAGGGAAGGAAGAGGACTGCCCTGCAGGGCACTCCCATCCTCCGTGCTGCCATCCCTTACAGGGCGGCTGGAGTGGAACAAGAACAAACAAAAACAAAAAAAAGCGGCCATGCCGCCCTAGAATTGGGCAGAATGCCGCCTCCAACAATCTGCACTTGCTCAGCTGGTGCCTGGAGCCGGCCCTGAAGAAAACCAGACCCCCAAGAAGGCCTGTGATTGAAAGGAGAAAGACTGTGTGGGGTTTGTTTAAGGAGCCCTGACGAAGAAGAAAACAGAGGTGGGGCACTGCAGAGGCTCCCCTGGACATGAAGGGGCACTCAGGTGGTGGCCACCCCAATACACCTGGCACCTGAGCAGGGAATCTTACCGTCCCCTTCTTCGGGGACATTGGAGGAAGTCTTGTGATTAATGATACAGCAGCAACAGGCAGACAAGGAGCAAAATCATCTGCTCCAGGAAGCCTTACTAGCCACCCAGCAGCACACGCAGGAGGCCTAACTGGCTGAACAGGAACAGAATTGGCAGTTCCAGGCCAAGGTGGCCAGGCTGCTTGTGCTAAGTTTGCTGGGTGCTCCTACAAGGGTGTTCCCTGCTGAGGCTCTCCCAGGACCCACCCTAACCAAGCTAACTCTACTGACCCGGGAGCTTTCCTGACAGCTGAGCAGGTGACAGCCACCACTGGCTGGGAGAGGAGCCCTCCCCCCCAGCCCTTTAGCTACATGGGGAGACTAGGGTTGCCAACTTTCTAATCGCACAAAACCGAACACCCTAGCCCCTCCCTGCCCCTTCCCAGAGGTCCTGCCCCCCACTCACTACATTTCCCCCTCCCTTGGTGGCTCGCTTGATGCTCTCCACCACTCTCACTCACTTTCACTGGGCTGGGGATGGGGGTTGAGGTGCAGGTGGGGGTGAGGGCTCTAGGGTGGGGCCAGAAATGAAGGGTTCAGGGTGTGGGAGGAGGCTGCGGGTTGAGGCAGGGGGTTGGGGTGGAGGGGGGGTGAGGGCTCTGTCTGGGGGTGCGGGCTCTGGGGTGGGGCCAGGGATGAGGGGCTTGGGGTGCAGGAGAGGGCTCCAAGCTGGTGGTTGGGGCGCGGGCTTACCTATGGCCAGGACTGTCCCTAGGGGGGTGCCAGGCCCAGGACATAGGGGCCAAGTTTCTAATCTGCCGGGGGGCTGCTCCCCCCTCTGGCTCCGCCCAGGCCCCACCCCCACTCTACCCCTTTCCCCAAGGCCCCACCCCGACCATGCTTCTTCCCGCTCCCAACCTGCCTCTTCCCACCCCTTCCCCACCCAGTTCTACACCCTCCTCCGAGCACGCTGCACCCTCACTCCTCTGCCCTCTCCCCCAGCGCCTCCTGACGTCGCAAAACATCTGATCCGCGGTTGGCGCTGAGAGGGAGGGGAAGGTGCTGATCGGCGGGTCCCGCCGGTGGGCAGGAGGTGCTGAGGGAGGGGGAAGTTCTTGTAGGGGGAGCTCCTCCTTGCCCCATCCGCCTGCCACTCGCCTCCCCGTTCACCTCCTCACCCCGCTCGCCCACCCGCCTCACCTCCCTGTCCCCTCCCCAAAGCGCGGGGCCCAGCGCAGTTGCCCCAATTCACTGTACCCAAGGGACAGCTCTACCTCTGGTGGCTCCCAGTCAGCAGTGCAGCTGGGGGGCTAAGGGAGGCTTCCTGCCTGTCCTGACTCCACGCTATGTCCCGGAAACAGCCAGGAGGTCTGGCTCCTAGGCAGAGGCATGGCAGCTGGCTTTGCATGCTGCTCTCGCCCTCAGGCACCGCTCCCGCAGCTCCTATTGGCTGCGGTTCCCGGCCAATGGGAGTGCAGAGCCAGTGCTCAGGGTGGGGGCAGCGCGCAGAGTCCCGTAGCCTCCCCCACTCCCGTCTAGGAGCAAGACCTGCTGGCTGCTTCTGGGGCGCAGTGCGGAGCCAGGACAGGTAGGGACTAGCCTGCCTTAGCTCTGAAGCACCGCTGACTGGACTTTTAATGGCCCGGTTGGCGGTGCTGACCAGAGTCGCCAGTGTCCCTTTTCGACTGGGTGTTCCGGTTGAAAACTGGATACCTGATCTCCCTAGGGGAGGCCTAAGCTACTTCCAAGGCCCTGAGTACAGATGAAGCCCAATCTTACTTTACTCTGAAGGTGGCCATATTGGATTAGCTTGGATTCATTCCAGAAATCTATTATAGGAAGTTTCATGAGGAACCATTTCTAAAAGGAGGCTGTCGCCCAATGGCTCTGCAACTTGGCCACTCGCTGGCTGACCCCTGAAACTAAGACCATGGGTGACTTGATGGATAGTATTGTTTTTAAACAACATTTAAAAATTCTCCCCATAGCAGTACAAGCCTAGGTTTATCAGTTCTGCCCATTAACCATCCCAGAGGCTGTAGAAACAACAGAGAGGTTTCTAGAGGTGGAAGCTTCAGGAATTAGAATAATTCCTCCTAACTCTCCCCCCAGCCTGCAGTAACTCAAGGGTTGTTGGCACTGCTCCAGGTTTCGGCACCCCAGGAATGAGGAGGTGCCCTTGGTACTGGGCCCCCTCAAGGGAGAGAGTCTCTACCTTCCTGGAGATCTCCAGTCAGAGGCACTTTGAGACCCCAGGATCCAAGCGGGCCTTTGTTGACCATTCAAGAGGGGCCGATCATATGTTATTGCTTTAGGCATTTGGGACATAGGCAGTGAGAGTGTCCCATGATGGAGTGTGACTATCTAGGGTGTCACTTTGGCAGGTAGGGTAAGACCTCAAACCTGCCAGCGAGGGATGCCATAAGACCCTTCCTGGTTCCCATCCAGATAGAACCACACTGGGACCTGGGAGCAGTATTGTCCTAGAAGTTCCACAATCAGGAACATCCTATCCTGTAGGAGTAGGAAACTCCTGGACCGTGAAAAGTGGTATTGGTCATCCAGAAGGAATGCTGGGCAGTGAAGCCAGGCACTACTATCTGCATTGGACTCCCTTTTTCCTTGTCACTGACCAAGCAGTGCTCTGATGGCTCCAGATGATGAGAGATTCAAATGCCTGGGTTACCCATCGGTACCCTGCCCTTTTGTTTTCCTGCACAGCATTGTCCCGGCAAGAACCACCAGACTGCAGACCTTCTGTCCAGGACAGACAAAGATGGCGAGCCATGCAGTGAGTGCTCTGTCAGGCCACTCAGAGTGGTGAGGGGTATGGGAGAGCAAAGGGAGTGAGGGAGCCTGCCTGACTTGAAGAACTAGAGCAGGCTTGCTAAACCAGAGACACCTGGTGCAGCAAAGGAGCCTCAGGCAACTGGTTCCTTACAAGAACTGAAGCAGTTGGGGTGGGAGGGGGACTGCAGATTCTTGGGGACTCTGGGAGTGATTAGAGAAATGCCTTTTTGGTTTGGATTTTTTTTTTGAGCTTTGTAAATAAAGAAAACCAGACCCCCACAAGGGCTGTGATTGAAGGAGAAAAACAAACCCCACATAGTCTCAGGAGCCCTGAAGAATCAGGTACAGGGCACTGCAGAGGCACCCTGGACTCATGGGGATGCTTGGTGGTGGCCACACTATTACACAGTGCTTAAAGTGGGGGAAGGGAAGTGCTTGCAATGGGTCAAAGACCCTGCTGAAGGGTGTACTTTAAGCATTGTCTTACTAAAGCTGCTGCTCTGAAGTTGAGAGATTCCCTGTCCATCACCCCACACACACCTTTTTCAGACCACTTTAAGCACCAGCTACTGTAGCTTTGCGGCTTCTATAACCAGCATGGAGTGGGCTCTACTGTCATTCTTTGGCCTGAGAGATCGGATTCCTTCCCTCCTCCTCTTCAAGCTTGGCACAGCAGCAGAGAGGATTTGGTCCTGAAAGGCTGAATTCTGTAACTGGATCCATATAGGTGGGCTACTGAGGTTAGTCAGATTCTTGCCATATATTTCCTCCCAGTTCTAGAACTGGTGGGGGCTTTTAATCACTAATGATAATCTTCGTGACTAAGATGCTGACTAGTATAGATTCTCCTTTTTACTCTGCACTGTTGCTTCTGATCTGACAAGCTAATGAATAATTTCTGGGATGCTATTAACTACTATTTTAGGAAGCTCATATTTCAGCTAGCTAGCTTGATTCAAAAAGGTGAAGTTATAATTGTCTTTGCTAATAATAAAATCTTGTGTCTTTATGTATTCTCTTCTGACTATGCCAACAAATTTTCCACCTGGATTTCTAGATCTGTTATTACTCTTGTTTTCATCTAAAGAATGGGGATGTTCTATACCTCCAGACAATGCTGACCTACTGTTTACAGAGTGGTATTTTGTGTACTGCTCTTGGTAGAGGCCTATTTATTCATTACACAATACGGAATCAGTGCCAACAGCTTAGCCGTGTGTTTCTCGTTCTAATGAACAGATACCTGGCTGACTTTCACTCACTGGCTCCAAGAGCATTTTGTTTTAAATCCAGTCACTCAGAAGCTAACAAATTCACAACAGTGCAGGGCTGCCCCTGTGCTCTGTACTAAAGGGAGAAGAGGGTGGAAGGCAAGGCCTTCTTCTCCAGCACCCTGCAACACAGCAAATGCGATAAGAAAGAACCACACTGGCGCAGTGTTTACTGACTACATAACAGGCCTAACTCCATATACACACTACTGCTACGGTTGCCACATCTGAGGAACAAAAACCAGGACATGCGGGATGATTCTGAATCCATAAAACTGGACAGCTGGCAGTGCATTGAACATCCTTGCAGATATTCCAGGACAGCTACCTCATAAAAAGGGGCAGTTGTTGGAAAACCTGGACAGCTGACAATCCTATGCTCTGACACAGCTTTGGTGGCTTCTGCAACAGAAGACAGTGAGGGTCAATAGAGGGCTCGAACTACTTTAAAGAGCTATTACTCCATTCCTATAACTATATACCCTCAGCCCTGACCCCAGCACGCCCCCTTTGCTGGGGCACATGCAGGGTGGCAGGAGCATAAGATCCCACATCAGCCCTAGGATGCTCCTGTAACTGCCCCTTACCACCACCAGACTGGCATATGGAGGCTTTACTTTACTGCACTAAGATCCTTCAAACAAAATGACCAGCTCTAACTCAGATGTAACTTTTCTCCAGCGATGGGGCTCAAAAGGATACCTATGACACCAGTTGTTGCAGCTTAGGCTTGCAAAGTTGACTCAGTTGCAGGTAAATCCAGAGAGGTCAGGGATTGTAGCTCTCTGCCATCCCCCTCAGCAGCAATGGGTCCAAAAGGGTTGCAACTCTCTCGTAGCTCATTCCCCACAGAGTCGCCATCTTTCCTTCTTTGACTGCCTTTGGCTTCTCTCTGAACCTGTTCCCCCCGCCCTCTCTTCTGCAGCACTCATCTGCCAACCCAGTCAGCTCCTGGCCAAACACGTTATTCCCAACCACCAATTTTTAGTCTCTCTGGCTGTTCCTCCTGCACTGGTAGATGTGGCTAGATCCTTGCCCTTCTGGTGCAAGACTCTCAGGCTTCACCCACAGGCTTCTGCAGAGGTGAAAGAGAAGCACACGGAAAATATTCTGCATCTCTTTTTCTACCTTGGATCCTACTCATCTGCTCGTGGTTCCTTGGCCAGAGGAGCATTTTGCCTTTCAATAGAACAGAAGGATAACATCATTAATTCTTATATTTTTGCCTGACTGAAGCCATTGAGTGCTGCTGTAATAGCAGGCAGAATGTTCATGGATTCATTATTGCAAGCCCTTTAATACTGAGGTCCTTGCTCAAGTTTTATGTATAAACTCCCCTTGACAGTAGTGAGGTTTTGCCTGCATAAGGATTGAGTGGGTGGGTTGTCCCAAAGACTATAGTAGATGTTCCCCTTCTTTATTTATTTATTTGCTTGGACTCCTATTCTGTTCCCTTGGGCAGGTTAACTCTGGCAAGTGAAGTTCAAGGCATCTGAAAAACACCCCTGGACAGCACACGCAGAGAGAGCGGGGAGTAGTGGTGTGTGAGTTGGAGCACTGGGTTATTGCCCACTTCTCAATTACGTCTCTCTTTCATGCGTAAGTACTTTATGATGAGAGGAAAAGAGCTTTCACTGTTTAATTTACAGGATCTGTGGCCTCCTACTAGGACCACAGGAAGATTAAGGGGGACACAGAGGAACTAGATAGTTGGAGACCTCCTTTGACATTTTGCCCTGTCCGTCTTCGCTATCTTCTCACTTCTCTCTTGTCTTTTCCTCCCCTTCCTTCAAAATGTTCTTTCCTCACCATCCTCCCAACCTCCCCTACTGTTCCTCTCCCCTGTACTTCCCAGTAAATAGGTATTAAATAGTCACCAGTACTGAGGGCCACCAGCCTTCTTAACAGGGGTATCATTTGCTATGGGACAAGGGGGGCAGTTACCCCCCCCCCGGCCCTGGTTTGCCCCCCCCCCCAACTTTTCATAGGTCTTTGTGCTCCACCTTCCTCCCCCAACTTTTGCAAGATACAAGATAATCACATAATATTTTATATGCTGACGCAGATTTGCCTCCCCCAGAATTTTTCAGAAAAGTTGCCCCTGCTTCTTGAATATACTTTAAGACGTTTCACCCTGAGTTCAACCAGTGTGGTCTAGTAGGCGCTAGACTGGCATTCAGGGGGCACAGATTCTATCTGCATCTCTGCCACTGACCTGCTGTGTGACCTTGGGCATCACTTCTGTCTCCACTGCCATCCTTCATCCGTCTGGTCTGTTTAGACTAGAAGCAGGGCAGGAACTGTTTCTCACTATGCGTATGTACAGAATCTTACACAATGAAGCCCTGATCTCAGCTGGTGCCTCTATGTACTCGTCTCTAAACATTAATCTCCTAAAACAATTGTGATCATGGCACTGTACGCCATCTGAAGTCTGCCAGATGAAAAAGCAGGGGGAGCAGTGGTGATTCGTGAACAGCAAAGCAAACGCAGCTGTTTGCAGTGTAATACTTTATCCACCTGACTCTCCATCCCAGGTGAATGAACTCAGCCTCCTACAATCTCTGGGAGATGGTGAAGAAGTATTAGCTCGCAGGGTGCCCAGCATCCTGAACTCCCATCTTTAGAATTGTTCAGTACCCTGCAGAGTTGATCCCTAAGTGAGAAGGAAAGTGAAATACCCAAGGAAGCCTGTGGCAGAACCAGGAACAGGGCCTAGATTTTCTGGGGCCTAGTTCTCTGCTTTAACCACAAGTCCATCTTTTCTCTTCTGTGGCTGGGAAAGCTGCCAGTGCCATGCTAGGCTGGGGGGCTGAGTAAATGTCTAGCCCTCCTGGAACATGATGATTGATAAAGAAAGTATGAAAGAAACCTTTGTTCTTGATGGATGTCCTGGGGCCTTGTACAATACATGGACCCTAGATATAAGCCCCTTCTGCTCCCCACCCTAGCAAAAGGATCTGTATAATGTGAAAGCACCTGTTCATTGAACAGGTATAATCATGAGAAAAGACACTGTGCTCAAAGCAATGCAATGCTGATATAAGTACTAAACAAAATCCTATTTCATTGCTGGATACCAACCAATTGTAAAGCAAGAGGACTATATGCCTCCCACCCATCACTTAGAGAGTCATGGGAAAACATTTCCTGCACTGTTCATCACACTTGATCAGAATAATGACATCACAGCCGTTAACTGATTGTGTTGCTCAGGTGCTAAGAAATTAAACAGCAGGTAGCTCCATCAGGAGGGAGTGTAGGTATTGTGGCTGTGATCCAAGGAAGGGATTGCTGGGGCTCTAGGATGAATGGAAGGCACGCCCAACCTGTTTGAAATAATCATTCATGTGCATGCCACTGTGCAGTAATCTAAATAGGTTCATTAGCATTCCACAGCTGGGCTTTGTCAGATGGTGAGTGGATTAGTTGAATCTGTGGCACACCCTGGATCTGTGGCACACCCTGCACCTGGAGTGTGGGATTTACTGTTGAGATGGTATGGATGTGAATTCACATGCTGTGTGTCTCTATCATACGCTTACTGGCTCTGAGCTGGCAAACCATCCAGAAACTGCAGCTGCTTTCCAGGTGGGTCCAGTTTCCCCATAAAGGACAGTAAGAATGGGAAGGGTTAGGGCTTGCTATAATATAGCATAACCTCCTCTCAGGGCAGGAACATATAGTCTCTGAAGAGGAATGTCGTGACTCTCTCCTTCCATTGCAAATGAGGGGTTAGTGTTTATGTTTATAAAAGAGAGGAGGGTCTTGTGGTTTGGGTACTGGACTGGCATTCTGGGTTTAATTCCTGGTTCTATCTTAGGGCTTCTTGTGTGACCAGAAATCTCTCTGTGCCCCAGTTCCCTTGGGGATAACATACTTCCCTTGTGAGGTGCTCAACTCCTATAGATAGGGCATGTAAGTACTTAGTTCTGGCACGTAGCATGTACTGTAAGCACAATGCTATATTTCAAATTGCAATGGCCCTTTCCCCCTAAACTCTTATTTTTAGATACTGTTGTAAAGGTTCTCACGCTTTATTCACAATTAGGCTACGCTTTAATGGAGATTGTCTCATGGCCATCTCCCTTCCTGTTCATAATCAGGCCGACCACTTCTATTATTCTTGATCCCGTAACATACCTGTAGCAATTACAGCAATTCCATACATACAAAAGTAGTGTTAGGAAGGTGTTTGTATATATTTTTTTAACATGTGGAAGCAAGGAGGAGCCAACACCATAGACCCAACCAGCTTCCACAAACCACCATCAATCATTCCATGGATTTGGAGAATTCCTGCCTTATTATATTTTCTGGAAGTCTCAGTGCTTGGGGCCTGTGTAAAGATAAATCACTTCTGATAGTGTCAGAATTACGGCTGTGGTCATCTGAGTTCCCTGAGTATGGGAAAGATACATTGTTCCCCTGTGACAAGTGGTCAGATGACTTCTTGCATTCAGGTTAGGTCTGCACTAGAAGCTTTTGCTGGTATAGCAATGCCAGGTTTTTTTGGTGGGGAGAGGGGGAATATTTGTGATATGTATTTTGCTTGTTGAACTAGTATAAGCTAAATCATTAAAACTTTGCCAATAAGTTGTGTCTACACTGGGAGGATTGTCAGTTTAGCTACACTGGTATAACTATACTGGGAAACTTCTTAAAGCTTAGACCTGACTTTTGATGCCTGGCAAAACAGGTTTGTGTTTTGAATATGGCAGATATGTAGTTAACAGTGCATGCCTGGCCTTGTTCAAAGAAAGCTGCTTTTGACATAACAGCATTTAGGAGATGTGGAAATAACACCCTGCACATGAGCATGGGATGCTCCTTCACTCAGAAAGATGTACTGAAGAGACTGCTACAGGCATTCAGACCTGTGCTTGCCTGAATGATTGATTGCAACTGTAAGGGACCCATGTCTGTAAGGGACTCTATTTAGCCATTTTGTCCATTGCATAGTCCATTCTTGTTGTCCAACTACAGGCTATGCAATCACATCATTATCAGTCATCTAGCATAGGCTAGAACAGTAATCTTGATTACTATTCACATGACAAATGTAGTGGGCCTGATTCTGTTCTGCACATACTCGTGTTACACCTGTCACTCCATGACTTCTGTAGAGTTATTCTTGCTTTACACTGGAGCAAGTGAAATCAGAATGAGGCCCCACATCACTAGATGAAAATGCAAATTCCAAATAGCTTTATAATGATAAGTCTGAGTCTGCTCCATCTCTCATATCTTCTTTTGACTCTGAGATGCTATATGTACGGCAACATTTTTGCCAAACTGAGATTTCTAGCAATTTACAGTGTCTGCAGTGACGACCTGGGGCTCACGATGCAAAAACCAAGGAAGCTGAATCACTGTCCCAACCCAGCTATTTAAAACCCAGGGACGCCTCTTCTAAGAAATATTTTTTTCTTAGTTAAGTACCTGAAACCAAATGCAAAATGAGATTCATTCCTCTTTGTTTTGCTCTTGTTTATGGATAACATGCACAGCTGTCCATGCATGGGGGTTTGTAATCTCAGCAGTAATCCTGGTGGGGTTTACAATCTCCACAGGTGCCTTTGTGAATCTTTGTCAAAGTTCCCCTACCTTTAAGTAGCCTGGGGGAGCTAAATATCTCTGACAAACTGTACACAGCCCACCTGCTCTTTGGAGAACTTTGTGGGTGAACTTTGTGGGGAACTTGATATGTTCCCTTTTTTGGGGAGGAGAATTACTCCCTAAATAAGCACTTCAAATTCTCAGAGAGTCTGAAATAGTTTGCATTGACATCTCTTGAGTGAAACAGATTTCTAGGCCAAAATCTGTCTGAGACCTGGCATGGCCAACAAGCATCAGACAACCTTTTGAAAATTTTAGTTGCTTTGAAGATCTGATTCACCTCTGTAGCCGAGGGCTCCCAAGTCAAAGAACTTCTGCAAATTCTCCGCTAACCACAGATCACACATGTGGAATTTGAAATGTCCAGGACCAGCTCTTAAATTCAGGTGGAGCTGTCTGGAATGGAGCGCTGGTAAATATTTTCAAACCCTCAGGGCTGAAGCCCCGAGCCCTGGCGTGCCTCCCGTGGGGCTGAAGTCCTGAGCCTCAGGGCTCCAGGAAATACTTTGTGAGAATTTAAGCCCTGTCCAGGACCTTTCATGATTATTTAGAAGAGGGTCTCTGTAATACAATTCTTGTCACAAAATTAACAGCAGAGAAACAGCCAGCACTGCTAGTTTCAAGGTTCTTGTGACAGGATTTACCATTGTGACCTCTACAATCAACTTTACTGGCCAAATCTTCCCCCAAGCAAATGCAGTGACCTTGGTTTACAAAACTGAATAAATGGACTTGCCACCCATATATTCATGTTCATTTTTAAGCAACAAAGACTAAAAACACACCTTCACTTTACCACATCTATTGATTTTAAGAGATGAGAGCCAAATCTGGGAGATGGTTGCAGCCCAAATTCCTAGAATAAGATACCTGGATAATTCACTAGGGCCCAAACGTTGTTGGTCTTAGGAGAACTTTGATCCTTTAAGAAGACTTCACACAGTACAAAATGAACTGAAATTGTGACTGTCCGTTTGTCA